AGGCAAATAAGAAAAAGGTAACGGTTCGCTATGAGAGAACATGTCGCTGGTGAGACGCAAGTCCAGGAAGAACGGAATAAGGTAGAAACAAAATCTTTTTTCCTGATGAAAGAAGAGAGTCTACTCTTTCTTTTGGTGTGTTCGGTGTTTACATAGTCAGAGCACAAACTATTCTGTGGCTCTTGAAAAATCTGTCAAAATGCTCAAAAAACTGGCAGTATGGGACTCTGTTCTGAAAATGGCTGCCAGTCAATGAGTTAACAACGAGACTTTGTCCTGGTTCAGGTAGTTTTTCTTAATAAAGGCTCAGTGGGTTTATCTTTAGATTGAAAATGTTTGTTTATATATTTAATGAAATGTTTTTGTTGTTTGGTTCTGAGGGGCCTATCAGAGCATGTGATAAAGTTTAAAGTTATTTATCTACTTCCTTAGTTGTCAGACTCATGTTGAACAGGGATTTACTCTGAAAACAACTTAATGGTTAGGACACAGACCTGTGGGTTACAGATGCTAATGCTAATGTGGGATCGGACTTTAAAAAAAAAAAAAAAAACTGGATCTGGAGTCTGGATCTGCATTTTCTCCTGCCGGCCAATACACAGTTTTTTGCGAAAATCGGCAAAAAAACGAGCTGTATCATCCATCTATCTATCTATCCATCTATCTATCTATCTATCTATCTATCTATCTATCTATCTATCTATCTATTTTAATATACTTTTAAGGTTTTTTTTTTTTTTTTCCAATCCAGATATCGGATCGGGACGAGCCTAATCTGAATCAAACTAATTATGGAAAAGTGTTCAAAGCCTTTGGGCTGCTTCTGCTTTCTTCCGATTCTCGAACCATCCTTCCATTTCTAATCAAACTCCTGGGGCTCAGCCCTCAGCTTTGGGGGTCTCAGAGGACATGGGCACCCACCTTGGCACAGTGCAGGTCTTTGTGTTTCTTCAGGAGTTTATCTGCCTGCTGGATTGCCATCTTATTGTTGCCATTGTCCAGGTAATCTGAGGAAAAAAGAACAACTGGAATGAACTCATCCACAACAACCGGGACTATTCAAAAGAGTAGATAAACAAATACTGGAGAGACTGTGGAGAAAACATGGTGGGAAATGCAAATGTTTTGGTTGTGCCCCTCCATCCAGACTAATTTAAAGGAGGTGACAGAAGTTATTGATAAGGTGTTGGGTTATAGCGTGGATGTGACATTTATTTTTCTGTATTTGGGTAATTTGCCTTAGGAATTAGACAAAGATGATGAGTATCTTTTAAAAATGATGATGGCAGCAGGGGAAAAGGCAATTACCAAATACTGGCTTCAGAAAGACATCCACTGTAGGAACATTTGTTGGCATAGTAAAACATTTACATCTCCTCGAGCAGATGTCCTTAAGGTTACAAAAAGAAATTGGAGAAAGAAAATGGGTAAAATGGTCCGTTTACATGAATGACAGAACCAACGACACAGGTTAATCAGACTATTGTACTGTATTGATTGTATTGTATTTGCGGAGATGTGCATTAATGACCTCAAGCTTTCTTTTCTTTTTGTTGTTATTTGTATTTGTCTTGGCTTACTTCACAAAAATACCATGAATAAAAAGTATTAAAAAAAACAATCAGGATTATTTATTTACTTAAAAAAATGTGAGCTTTCAGGGAGTTGCACAGCAAAACAGAACACTTAATTTCAGTCTCCGCAGACTTATTTCCTCTGAGGTTTTTCAGCCACAACCCAAACAGGTTTCAATCAAAGACGCATGACTAGAAACAAACCGCACACGTAAACACAGACCGATTATTAGAGATGTGAGACTATTGAGAAGCTTGTTGCTTAAATATTAAACTATTCACAGTTAAGCCTACAATTTACTTCCCTTTTAGTCCAAGTGGGAAGCTCAGACTTCCCTACTCTGTTCCTCCCGTGGGACCTAAAGATGGGATACAAACACCCCCCATTTTTTTAAGCTCTTCTCATAACCTGGATGACCAAAAGCCACCTCTGGAAGGGGACGTTCCCTCCAGATGCTCAGAGGAGACTTGTTATATTAGTTTATATCTGATATCTCCATCTTTAGGGAAAAATCTCTGACCAACAGGTGATGCTCGGAGCTTTCCAAGCGCCTATCCTCCTTTTTAAATGAAATCTACGGCTGAATTTCACCAAAAGTAACAAAGGTTCGACTTCAAGCTCCCTCAGATCACGTTTTCTGACTTTTCTTTGCTTCATCTCGCAGAATAACAGAAATTACTGTCGTTTATCTGATGAAGTAGAGATTTAAATGTTAATTTAGCTGCTTTTCTGGCACGTAAAAGCTTAAAATATTGGCCTTTTCATTGAAAACGAGGCAGTCTGTTCGTATTTTAATAGATTTCTTGATGCAGAATCTCTCTGGGTAGCTGGAGATTGTAGTAATGTGTAGATGAGGAGACACAGACCTCGGTTCAGCCTCCTCAGGACAGCTGGGTGCCAAATTTAACCGTGCCAGACAGCATGGTGTGATTATGTCATGTCTATTCTCTCTGTTCAAACTGTCATCACAGGAGACAAAAGTTGCCCGAAAACCCAGGAAAAATCAAAGAAATCCTGCCACATCAACTCACTCAAACCAAGCAGCATTCAAGCTAAAACACTTCTTTATAAAGTCATCTACTTTACTAGGGAAGATGGCTGAACTGTTTCTGTTTTCAATCTGAATTTCACTCGATTTAAAAGTTAAATGCAGCGTGGTGAAATGCGACAAAAAAGGCTGCTCTCATTGATCTCGTTTTCCGGTCATTACAGAGCTAACAGTTCCTATAAATGCAACAAATAAATAGATAAACCAGCTTTACTGCGGGTTCGTACCTTTTTCCTAAATAAAAGGCAACGGAAAAGCCAGTAATAACCGTTATTTAGCTGTGCGCGAGCACTGACAGTTAGTTAGCTAGCTAGCTAGCTAGCTCGTGCAGCTAGCTTCCAGCATTGTCCTTAAACTGTTGTGATGCTAATGCTAGCTGAAAGCTAAGTGTGTAACTCCCGGTCACAAAGCAGCTGCAGTCTCA